ATGTACTGGCTGGATGACTCGTATATAACTTACTATTATGGGATGAATTGTGTTCCCTCAAAATTCATATGCTGAAGTCCCCCAGTGCCTCAGAACATGACCGCATTTCAACATAGTGTATTCAAAGAGGTAGTTAAGTTAAAATGAGATCACTAGAGTGCACCCTAATCCAAAACGACTTGTGCCCTTAAAAGAAGAGAAGATTAGGACATAGACACATGCATAGAGGAAAGACCACGTGAAGAAACTGGGAGCAATGGCCATCGACAAGCCAAGAGAGAGGCCTGGAACATATTCTTTCCTCATGTCTCAGAAGAATCCAACCCTATCAACAACTTAATCTTGGTCTTCTAGCCTCCAGAATTGCAAGAAAATAAGTTTCTGTTGTTTAAGTCACCCAGCGTGTGGTCTTTGTTATGGCAGCCCCAGCAAACTAATACACTTACTCTCTAGGTTTTGGATGTCTCACAGCTAATGTGAAGTAATAGTTTACACTGACAGTACCAGTCAGCCATTGCCACAGCATTGATGTACACCAAATCATTCTCAAACTCAGTAGCATACAGATTATTTTTCATCAGATTGCCTCTGATTCATTCATCTGTGGGTCAACCAAGGCAGCTCGTTTTAGGACTGTAGAGTAACTGGGACAGCTCTACTCATTCTGGGGCTAAGTTGAAGGGATGATGACCAATTGGGGAATGTTCTTCTCATGGCAATGATAGAAGTGCAAGATTGCAGGTCCAACTGCACAAGTATATTTAAACGCTGCTCTCAAAAATTCCCTGTAATATCCCATTGACCAAAGCAAGTCATATGGCCAGCTCAATGTGAATGAATGGGGAAATATACTCTGAGCATCATGAGACCATGCCAATCATGTAAATATATAATAAAGGAGAATGAAAAGTTGGAGACAATAATTCAATATGACATTGATTATGCACAGGCCAGAGGCTGGATATGATGACATTTAAGGCCATTTCTATCTAAGATGTATGGTTCCATGACACACACTTAGAGTCTAACTTAATTCAGAGCTTGCTATGCACCAGACCCTCATCTAAGTTCTTTACAAATGTTAGGTTATCCAATTAAACCACACAAACTTGTAGCTTATTATGAACAGTATCCAGCATGACCTGATCAATTGTAGGATTATGAATCTTGGTATCACACATCAGATGGTAATTTACCATTTGCAGACACTTCAGATACAGCTCCTCAGATTGAGAATAAGGTGCGTAGACATTCCATGCTAGGCAAAGCATCCACAAACAAGCCAACTCATTGGCAAATGGTGTTGGGCTTGTTTTGAATTTTTTATAACTCAAACTACAGGACACAAAATAAACACACAATTCTGGTCTTACCTCCAAATGGGTGATTGACCTATCTATCAAGATGCATCAGAAACAAAGTTTCAGAAGATACTGTCATGGCTAAGGCTATATACGAACTCTGTTTTGTGACTCCAAAGCAGTGACACGGGTGATGGGAAAGCCTAGAATATTGGAATGGCCCCTTTCAATACTACCCTACAAGTGTCACTAGCTATACTCTAGTTTCTCCTTCTGGCTCAGGACAGTGCCTAATTTTTGCCTAGTAAATGTGGGCCAAGCCATGCTAAATAGTCTTTTAAAAAGACTTGTGACTCAAGAATATCATTGCAAGATCCTTATGACTGATTCCCATGAACCAACATTCAGAGCCTATTCCTTTAGGAAGGTTGTGTAGTCATTGCTAGATCGTAGCTTTGAAGTCATAGAAAAATGAAAATAGGTGTTATTTTTGCCCTCACTCTAGAAACCCTATTTAATTCCAGTAAGAAACAAATTCAGCTATTATAACAGAAAACTATGTGAAACGGCCTTTTCTACAAAAGCGGATGTCAGTGCTTCAAGGATGTATGGCATCAAGATGACTATATATTTTATGGCATATTAATTAGATAACAAATGGATAAATCAGGAATCTGGTATAAGAAATGTGTTTACAGCCCCAAAGCCTGTTTGTAGATACTTATTAGTAATGATTTTTTATACTAAATAATACCAAAAATTGTTATTCATATTGATCACCGGGAACTTGTAAATTTTCAACCACATTTGTATCTCTTGCTTATATTTGATCCCTATGATAAATAAGGTGGATTTCTTCTCATGCAATAGAAATAGATAGGGCCCCAGGAACTGACGACATTTGCCATAGGTCAAACGACAATTTAAAGCTGGAGGAATGACTGCAAGCTTGATCTTTGTAACGATCATTGAGATCTAGGGAGAGAGGAGAGCTGCCTAGCAGTCCCTTTACACATGTTGATTCATTCCAGTCCCGCTTGTTTTCACTGTAAAATTTAGAAAGGTGATCTGTGAAATGGTCCTCAGGCCTTGGCGAGAATTTCTCAAAGGCTCTGCATTCAGAGAATGTACAGTTAGGATGAGAATAACTATCAGTATTTCCCAGAATGTGCTCACTCTAACATCCAGATTCTTGTTCAGTCTTCCAATTTGGGGCAGTTTGACACCCTAACAGAAGGTAGTTAGTCACCTTGGTAAATGTCTTCATGTAGGTTATTCATATTGTAAGTAGTTCTACCAAGAAAAGAAAACAAACCTGAACAAAAGCAATGCTGGGAGAGATATTTGAGCTGGTGGAGAAAAGTCATTAGAGTGACATTATTCAATCACTTTGTTTCTCTTATAATAATACATCATTTATTAGAAGCATTGCTTTTTTCCATGTGTGTCACTTTTTATAAATTTCACATCTATCACTTTTTTCCCCTTTGGGTGTGCCCCAGCAGAAGCAAGTTACATTTGCAGAAGGTGAGCCAGAGAAATTTTAATCTTGTTTTGAAAAAAGCTCTTCCTAAGCTTATTTAGGAATCAATATAATATTTAGGAAGATATTTCTGATATTTCTTGTCTTTTATTTGGGTTTCTCAAATCCAAAAATGTTGCACTTTAGAAATTAGAAAAAATTAAAACAAAAAGAAAAACTCTATTTCTCATGTCCCTCAACTGAAAAATCTGAGAGGAAGAGTATCTACGTTAAAAGATTCTATGAACACCTTAATGAGCAGACCAGGCACAGACATTGCCACGTTATCTTCCACTGTGGAAAGAGCACTGATATAGGGGGAGGCTTTCCCCTCATCATACAAGTTAGAACAAAAGAGATTCCATTTTCAAGGTGTCCGATTTAGTAAAATGAAGCAAATCTTCCAGATGTAAAGCTTTTAAATGAAGACAGTAGAGTATGTTAACTAACCAACTAATATTGTGCTGAAAACCTGACAACCCTCAGGGAGGCCTCATAGAGCATCTATTATTGGATTGTGAGTCTCATTGACATGTTTTTGATTTGGATAACTCCAATTCTACCCCATTCCCTCGCCGTTTCAAGCTGCACCATCACAGTTCGGGAAATCAACAGGGACCTGGAGGAAGAGAACATCAGATCTGCTCTCGGAAGGCAGGGGAGACAGCACGTGAAAACTCAGGCAGTCGCCTCAAAATTGGGGCATGTGCTGCTCTTACGGACTTCCCTGCCTCTGAGAAGACTCCTCAGAAACCTCTGGCATTACCACGAGACTGTATCGAGAGGCTTAGACGTGACACTATGAAAATGCTATAGATACAGCAGGAGAAATCATTTCTTTTCCTAAGATGATTATTGCAAACAAAGAATTCATGTTAAAAATAAGTAAACTTACCTTTGGAGTTTAATAAGTACTTATTGGGGGAAGGGGAGGGAAGGAAAAAGTTGGAAATTCCACGCTTGACACACACTCATCTTCTGTGGTCTGGGTTGGAAGAGGAGGGTCACTAAGAAAGGAAAGTAGGCCAAAGGTGAGAAGTGGATAGTAAAAAGAAATTTTTATCAGGCAGTTTTATATATTGCTCATAGTTAATGTCATACTGGTGTCTAGCAAATCCACTGGGAACATCAAATATGCAATTAAACAAGTGCTCATGAACACAGTCACTTCACAATTAGCTGTATTGATGGAAGACAGAAATGTAGTGGGGATTTGGGGGTTGGGAAGAAAACATGCACTTCAGTAGATAATTTGTCATTACCTTAGGCTCCTATTGACATTGATAATGTTTCACAAGGGCTTGGGATTGAGGGAATAGTCTGAACAAATGAACAAGGAAAATATAGAGTGAATGTATGTAAATGCCATCCAAGGCCAGTGTGATCACTGCTGCTTCCACTACAACTAGCAAACATTTACTGCATCCTTACCGTGTGCCGGGCACTGCTCTAAGTGCCCTCTGTGTATGAGTTATTCAAATCCTCACAACAATGCGAACTGTTAATCCCATTTTAGAGAAAAAGAAACTAGAGCACAGAAAGGTTGAGTAACTTGCTGCTAGGAACGTGCTGCTAATAACAGAACTAGGATCCAAAGTACGTTATTATGATCCTTCACCGTGATGAGCCTATACTGCATCTGTAATGGGAGAACAAAATGGACTTGGACATGCATGAAAAACCTATATAGCAAGTAGGCTATACATAATTAGTTTACCTATAGGATATTATATTTTAAGGGTTCCCTAATTGATGGTTTAATAATAATTCAATTATAGAAAAGTTTAGAAATAAATAGCTGAACACATAGTGATATAATACCATGCCCATTATAATAAACAATATTTCATTGCCAAATGATATGTCCTTTTATTTCTTCTTTTGAAATAAACTAATTGAACTCATGGACCATCAGGCATACTAGGGACTTTAGTTAGCATACATTGATTCGAACAAAGTTTCATCGAAGTATTGGTACCCTAGGTTTAAAACAGTGACTTGGATATTTTTTAGGGGATCAGAGGTAATTGCTATAATCCATTTCATTCCTGAATCTCTTTCCATTTTTCCGACAATTTTGGATAGGAATTGTATGGAACTCAATCTATAAAAATAATTGTTCTATTTCATTAAAGACATTACTTTATAACTATGTCTCAATGTCACTTGTCTTCTAGATAACACAATAAGAGAAGAGCCCAAGAATTTGAGAGGTTTGGAACATGATGCTGGAGGAATAGCACTCCTAGAAGAAATGAAGATACTTGCTTATCCTTGGTTCACCTGAGTGTGAAGCATCCAGTGAAAGTGACAAGAGAAGATGGTGTTTGTAAAGTCTACACATGCAGTGGTGTCCTCACCTTTATAAAACAGATGCCATTGTCAATGATTTTCTAGCACTCTTTTCACTATACATACAGCTTGATGTACTTGAGCAGATCTTTTACCTAATTTTTTAACCCTCTAAGATGCTAAGACAGAGCTGAACCTATGGTGCAAGCAGAATGAATGGAAGGGAATAAGTGCAAAGAGAAGCATTTTATTTAACTTGGGAAGATAAACAGATAGGTCTTACTTAAATTAGTGCAGAGGTATAGAACTATTGGCTCGATCATTCTTTATGTGATTGTCTCTTGCAAGTTTTAGTAAAATATTCTGATTTGGGGGAAATTTGTTTCCTTGCTAATATAAGATAAAAGAGGAAAAATTTAAAATATTTGCAGCTCTTTCTCTAAAATTTCAGGCTAATTTTTCCTCTCTTGTCTTGATATTTCTTTCTATGTGAATCATTCTTGTATATTTCTTCCACTGCATTTTTCATGAAGAAAACAAGGATTATCAAAGTTAAGCAGACAAGTTCAAGGCAGAGCTTCAAGCTTCTCCAAGAAATGGTTCCAGACTTGTTTACATGTAATGCTCTTGCAAGCAAGACACATGTCTGTTTTATCTTTGTTGGTATCTGGCACATATTAGGGAAACAGTAAATTCTCTGTCTCAATTAATGAGCATAGAAAAATGAATGAAGAAGTAGATGATTTTGTAAGACTCTCAAAGAAAATTTATAGAATATTTTGGAAATGGGCTCACTTTATTTCCAAAGGAAATTTTACTTTCAAATTAAAAAAAAAATTCACCCAAATGAGATTTTGGGGGATTTCATGTGATTAACTCTTTACATGATCTTGTAGTAATTATGCAGAAATTTCTATTTATGTAAACACAGTGAATGCATCATAACACTAGAATAAGTGTACAAATACTGCATGTCAAATTAGGTTATAATCACTTTCAAGGGACGTGATTTCCTAGTTAAACAGATTCGTTTACATCTTGTGAAATAAAAAATAAATGAAAATAACTATATAAAATCAGGCTTACAGCTGGACAGATCTTCTTGGCAATGGTCCAGACACTGAGAGGGAAAGCCCCTCCATCTGAGAACTGCTCAGGACGCCCAGGATGACTTTGGAGAGGGGTCCTTGGTTGCTGTCCTGACTGTGTGTCCTGTTCCCGGCCACCTGTGGGGAGTTGGGCTGCCCTCACATTTAAGACGAGACTCTTACTGTGAGGGGTTGGGGTGGGGTGGGGGGAGTGGAATAGAAACTTGCTTAGTAAAGGAGAAAACAGAGGCAGCTCAACACTTCACCCTTAGCTAAAAAGCATAACAGAAAAAGTCAGGGATCCTCGAACTGAAAAGCAAATATTTGAAGCCAGCATTGGAATCATAGAAGTTTAGAGTCAGGGTTTGACTGCCACGGATCATCTGGGCCAACCCTCGTAATACTGACGAGGAAACTGGCTACAAGGCGAGAAACAGCACCAAGACTGAGACCAATATCTTTCCTTCCCAAATCTGGTGCTTATTTATGAGATAATTGAAGCTGATTCTTTCAAGTGAGATAACTTTAAAAAAGCTGCTCATTTTGATGCATATCTTTGAGAAATACATTTCACATCACGCTGACATAGCCAACACTTTCCTCAATGTTCCCTTATTTCAACAGCAGGAGGGCACAATTGTAAACCTATGTTGTTACATGGTGTCATAATATGGTGGCATTCTCTATGGCTAATTATGCAGAGCAGTTTGCCTTTCACTAACCTTCTGTAAACGGGGTGCATTTGCCTATCTTTCCTCCGTGTCCCCGTCAATATTCATCTACTACTTATTTTTGCTAATTATAAGAAGTCACTAAAACAGTGATTTCTTTTTTAACCCATGGGTCCTGACTTGGAGGGAGTTCCACATTTCTGCTATTGAGTAAAATATCTTTTTTTTTTAGTTTAATTAATGCTCATCTTTGTTTAAAATATATTTGTTGAACACTTACTCTATACTGTGTTGTGCATACATTAGTTTCTTACCATGACCCATTGCTTGAACTGTCCTGATTCTGAGGTTGGCAAACTATAGCCTGTGAGCCATAAAATAAATAAAATTCTATCGGAATCCAGTCACACTCATTTGTTTGCATGTTGTCTATGGCTTTCTATGGCTACAACAGCACAGCTAAGTACTTGTGATAGAGACTATATGGCCCATAAAGACTAAAAGATTTGCGGTTTGGCCCTTAACAGAAAATTTAGCCAACCCATGGTCTTGAGTGTGAACACTTGATTTTCTAGCTGGCTTGGTAAGAGAGCCAAATAAAATAAATGACATTAAATTGTAGCTACCCGGAGCGCTACGCACTCTCAAGTGTTTGAAGTGTTTTTGGCCACAAGTCACAATCATGGCACTAAGCGATGAGGTGAGAACTAGCAAAATCCTAGTCTTCTGAGAGATACAAGGCTTCTCCAGATTTATTTAAATTATTTTCAAACCTTATTCCTAGAACCATCCCTAATCTGTACTAATACTACAAACTTGTAGCTTTTGCATTACAAATTTATTATTATTTCTTTTACCTCTTTTTTTTTTTCAGGAAAAAGGTAATTAGGCTATAAACAGAGGTCTGACAACTAATTTCAGTCAACGCCACATGAATACAAAGCAAGCAGAAAATTTTAGTCATGTGAAATTAAAATAGATATATTATAATGACATTCTAAGAAATCTAATTTTTTGCCCTTTGTTTTTTCCTCCCTTCCCCATTCTCATGTAATCCCCTATTCTGTATAGGTAGTGACACGTACTAATTTAGGTGAACAAGAGCTCACTAGCTCACTGCTACAGCTGTCCTCAGGGCTCCTTCCTCTGGTCCCCCTACTGATCTTTGGGTGGAAAGGCGCTTCTTCCCTCTCCTTCTCAGGGGTTCCTTAATGCTGAAAAGATAGCACCAAGCAAGGGAAAGTTCTTCATGGCCCATTCCTTACATTTTCAAATTTTAATTGGCATTATTAAGAGCAAGTGTACTGAATCTATATGATCGCTTCAAGAATTTAAAGGTTAGCAGCATTGTGAGTATGAGTGTGCATGTGTATGCATATTTCTGGGAGGAGATCCCAACATTGCTGTGTTCTGTCACTCCACAACCATATTAAATATGCATCTCAATGTCAGCAGCACCTTGAGATGTTATCTCCAAAATTATCACCTGCCTTCTGAAAACCATAACCCTAAAAATATTGATTTGTTAAAAGGCAGGATCTGAAGGAATGAGTCTGTGTCTCTGTGGATTATCCTAATCAAATAAGGGTAGTATTAACCTAGATACTCACTGATCTGCCAGTATTTGGTCTGAAATGTAGGCATCTCAACTGAAGTTATGTGCTTCATTCTTTTGAATATTTCTCCCAGACATTTAAATACATTACCGCTAAGCCAGAACCAAGAAAAACATAAAAAGCATTTTAGGGAATAAATTCAGCAAGTTTCCATTTGTACCAGATAGTAAAATTGTTGGCATGCATTATGAGGCGTGTGTATTTTTCAGCCTGTCAAGTCTCAGTCACATGCTCAAGGTGGAATATTTCGGCTGCCAGGGGTTGTGTAGAAAGGTCTCAGAACATTCAGGTAGTAGTACTTCCTAATAAATAGAGAGTTTTCAAGTCATCTGCCATAGCTATTTAGACAAGTCAGAAGAAAAGCTTATTTCATTAAATATGCTATAAACGTAACTTCAATGAAGGGTAGCCAGCTAAATACAAGAAGAAAAGACTGGTAGGGATTCTCTCCATTCAAGTGTTGAGCTTTACACAATTGTATTTAGAGGCACTTCTGTTACTAAGGAGGCTATGAGTTGATCGACTGTGTCTTAGAATTAACTACAGTGGTGGAAACACAAATTGCAAACCAGCATGAAGTCACAAAGGGAAAGGAGCAAAGAGAAGAATTTGAAAGTCAGGGACTCCTATGGACTTTTCGTTTTCCTTTAAGAAAATAAGTGTTGGACCAGCTGCCCAGAGTCCGCCATTAGTCGGAGCAAGCCTAATTATTGTTAGGCAGAGGGCCTAATGAGAACTGCTACACACGGCCTTCCTTTCTATTCTCATTTGCTTCTGTTTCCAGAGGAGTCTGGGTTTTGTTGGAGGTAAATGATTATGTTCCCTCTGCTCGACGTACTAGAATGAAATATGGTTGGTAAGGAAAGGGAGGACCTGGACTGGAAAGGGTCTTGGCCACAAATTGTTTGTGTGCGCATTAAGGAAGGTTCCAGTGTAACACTGTTTGCAGCGGAAGAGGAGGTAATGAGGGCTTGGAGCTGGCCCACCATCTTTGAAGCCTCTTGTGGGCACTCCTCCTTCCTCCCGGGGAGTGTCAGTCACAGCATTCTCAGTGCTGTCTTTGACCTTTTCACTGGAGAAATCGAGCGCAAATCAAACTTAAGCTTTAATACTTATAAGAAAGTGATAAGACTTTTTCCTCTTGTCCTGATTTCTTGACTGATTTTTCTCAAGATTCAAGGCTCGGGAAAATATTTAAGTTTCCCACAAATGGCTGGGATGGAATTTCCTCTTGAAAACGAATCACAATCTATCAAAGAATAATTCTATGTATTCTGTTACATACATCTTTGTGTTTCCTATGGTGACATTATGACACATTTGTTAACTAAACCAACAATTGTTGGATAAGCAATGAAGATATTTAGCTATTATTTGCATATCTCTGTCAGTTTACCGAGTGATTCTATGACTATTAGCTCTTTTGCTATTAGAAGCTAAGCCCATAGCAGAGAAAACTTTATTATCCTCATTTTAGACGTGAGGAAACAGACTCCATGGCAAAGATTTGGCACAAATTAGGTGGCTGATAGTTGCCAGATTCTTGATTAAAACTCATGACTAGATTTGTAAGCATTATCCTAAGCTCCCCATGAGTCTATAAAATCTTTGAAACCTTTATCCAATGTGGAAAACTTGTTTTCTATTGGATTTTTAACTCTAGAGTCCTCAAATCAGAGTAAAGCCAGTTGAAATCCCCGAAGCTTGTCTGAGTCGCTGGCAGTAGTGGTGTCCTGGGGCTGGCTCTACTCACAAAAGCCAGTTGAGCCCATCTCTTCCCACCTCCAGCTTCAGTGATAATATGTTGATAGCTTGAGATCAGCCATGGCAGGAGTGTTTACAGCACAGAAATTGCCAAACACTACAAATCAAAGAGAGTTGGTTGTCAACTCCCAAGAAAATGGTTGTCAACCATCTACCAGTACACACTACTGGTTAGAAATCTGGGCAACCAGGCAAGGAAAACTGTAGTCGGGTTTCTTGATGCTTAGAATATGTTCCAATGTTTGTAAGACACTAAGTTTCTTTGCAAAACTTGTGAGTATATCCTTTTGCAGTCTTTTGAAACAATGCATAAGAGAACATCAAAGTATCTTCTCCAAGAGGGAGAGCGAGGTCTGGAAATAAAATTAGCTACTTGTTTCAGGCTGTGAGTGTTTGCGAACGTGTAAGTGTGCTTTAAATTACACATAATTTTAAACAACTGTGTAAAAAGAGTTTTAAAAGTTTAATGGTGCTGAACCAAGAATAGGAATTAAAAATTGAAAAGAAAATACAAAACTATACCTTGTTTTCTGCTTTAAAAAATAAGTTTCCTTCTCATTTGCAATTAACATGCTGAGAATTTGCATAAAATGTGTAAAATTAGAGATAATTGAACTACCGTAGCTATAAACGTGGCTTTTCCATTTAAAAAAATAAATCAGATGTCCACTAAAAGGGTAGAAGAGCCATTCCCCTGCTCTCCTCCGTCTCCCATTTGGGTCTCTGGTATTTTTCACACTTTTATAGCTGATTTTTATTGCCAAACAATCCGTGGAGTTTGTGGCAGCTCTGAGACAGCAGCCGGCCCAGGCAGGCCTGTTAACTCTGGCATGTTAAGGACCCTTCAGAAGGTTTCAAATCCAGCCTCAGCACCCAGGTCAGCACATCAAATCCATGGAGACCTTAGGGAGGCCCAGAGGGGGTTAGAGGTGAGGGGGACATGGAGAGAAAGGAAGACAAGAAACCCCCCAGTACAGAAATGCCTTTAAACTAAACATCAATCGCTGTTTTTGTTTCCCTGGACCAAGCTTTCCCCTGGGAACCTCAAGTTTAAGAGGGTAGGGATGCAAAAGAGTACACCAATGCTCAAAGTGACTGTAGATGATGGTCCCAGACTGATGATTGTGTTTCCGTTGAAGGAGACTTTCTTCCCAGGGTAAGATAGGGCCTCCATTCTGAAGGTGATCTCAGGACCAGCCCCGAGTAACTCCACAAAATGTGTCTTAGACCTCTTCCTGATCGCCCATCACTAGGTGAGCTTTATCTCTCCCAACTTGGGGCACAGACTTATGATGATACACTGACCAACGGCATGCTATTTGTTTTGCTGCTCTCCTGAGATGTTTATAACAGTGGCTTTTGGCAGGCACTCTCTTCACTTTGTCTCATCTGTCCTCTTCCAAGAAAGCATAAGCACTTCAAGGGTGGAGACTATGCTTATAAGTGGAGCATTGGGAGCCGGGGAGGTTTCACTCTGATAAAATGTGATATCAAAAGTATCCGGGGAAAAACGTTGAATTCTCAGAAATGTGACAAAGCTCTCAAAGCTATATCAATTGAAAAATGCTAGCTCTAGTTCTTTTTCTTTTGAAACAGAGTAAAAAAAAAATCACAGTTTTTTTAACAAAAAACTTGATAATAAGTAAAAACAAAGATAAGGGGTGTCTTAAAGTAGCGATCTCCCATACTAATCCATTTTATCTGTGACCCTTAACCATCTGCTCATGCCATGCCTATGTGTTCTGTGATAGATCCCAGAGCATCTAAGAGGTATGTAGAAAATGTTTGTTGGTTTGATTTGACATCCTTTATTCTTAGGAGCCCAGAGCCTTCACGGTCAGCTCCATCTGGAGGGGTCTGTTCCCGCTTAGTTATTTGCTGCTAATGTTCCTACTCAATCTAAGTCACATCTCTCTAAAATAATAAAGTAAAAAATCCTGCAGGTCCCTCCCCTTAGACTCCTACCCTCTGTTTGGAAGTTATTAGCTGATTTGATAATAGGGAAGAGGGTTATTGATTTAGTATGTGACCCTGCCTAGTAGCTTGCTTACCTTCAATTTGGGGCATCCTGGAGATGATATGTCAACTCATAGTAGTGATTTTGCTGGCATCTGAGACACCAGAGAAGGCCAGTGAGAAATAATGGCAGCAGGATGTAAGTGTTCAGAAGCACTGCAAACTACCATGCCCAGAGAACTGTCTTCTGCATTCTTCCATTAGGCTGACCCGGATGTACTCCTCATTAGCTATGGCTATCTATTTTACTTACACCATGGCATGTTCGTTTCCCACAGAGAATCAACATCAACATAAAATTATTTTTACAGATTCTATTTTCTGTGCGAAGAAGTGTGACTGAGAAGTTATTCATATTTAATAACATATATAACATATACATAATATATAATGTATATGATATACAATGGTTCTTTATATAGCCTAATCCAAAGTTGTTAGCACACCAGGATGAAAAAGATCTGCAAGTGTTGCATCTTGAAGAATGAGGGATGCAGAAGGGCATCTCGGATGAGAGAGGATGGGAATGCTGGGAATGATGTCTGGAACGGGAAATTGGCACCTGTCGGGGGGAGAGCTAGGATACATACTACCATTTCCCCCTTAATGTATGTTGAGATTGCATGTAACCTCAGAATCTTTCTTAACACAGTGTTCCAACAAGCAATTAATTGAGGTTGACCAGAGCAACAGTGCCTCTTTGTCATTCTTGGTATTTACTAGAAAAGTATGGTAAATAATGCTGTAAGTAGAATGTGCAAGTTTCTAGATTATTTTTTGTAGTTCATAAGTAGAATCTTTTCCAAACCTTTGGAAAGACATGTGCTTTATAGATATTTAATTCAGTTATTTTCTTCCTTATACTCTACCCACCAGCTTTTCAGCCTTATACATGAGTATGTAAAAAAACAAAACTAACTTTCATTAAAAGATGGAAAAACCGTAGAAGAAAGGAATAGGAGTAAAATATGTAGCATGGGATCTTCAAAGTTTCTGACAGTGGACTTCAAACTTGGATTTCAATTTTCCAGCTCTCTACTGTCAAAGAACGTCCTTCACAGCCCATGCAAGGACTGTGGCAACAAGGACAGGGCTCCAAGATGCTTGAGGGCTTTGGTGGGGGGGGGGGGGGCACCGTGGCCCATTTTGGGATCCCTTACCTTTACCTTTTCACTCGTACTTCCCTCATGTGATTACTGAATGTCCCCTCCAGTGAGTAATGACCCCTTAGTGTGTTCTCTCCAACTGGGAAACTTCCATCTTAACCTACTCAATGTAAATTCTATAATTTTTCAAGAGTCTTTTGTATAATATGGAAACTTCAAGCAGAGGACCCAAGGCATTTTCTTTCATCAACCTGATTCTAATTTCATTAAAGCACTAAAAAGAAATGCATTTGGCTTTTTACTTGTCTGGTACTCTACTTACTCCGAAGCACATTCAAAAGCCACCTCTCTGATGTGAAGACGCCACTGCGGAATTGTGTAATTGGACCAACAGTTGCCACTTCTTCACACTCTTGCTACCCCACTTTATTGCAGAGCAGACTACTGTTTTGCAGGCCTTCCTTATTGCATAAATGGCTACATTATCACTGTGTACACATTAGAACAGGCAAATGGGCCCCTTAAGGCAAATAAGGGTTCAAATAACCCAGACAAGGTAGCCCAACTGAATTGAGGATTCACCCTTGTTACAACCTTATTGCTTTATGGCACATGAGCTCGTGGAAGGGACAGACTGCTTCAAGTGTGTTTCTACTGATCCTGCTGGCAAATCACAGCTTTATTACAGTAATGAGCCTGACCATATTTCTGTGCTTATGCATATTAGGCACCAAATGTATTTCTGGCCTGCCAGCCTGTGGTAGTAACTAACACAAGCAATTTGTCCTGGCTTACAGTCTGTGTGCACGCATTAGACATGAGCATGTTAGTTGCTTTGGGTTATAAAATACTACATGTTTCATCATGCGTATTTTTATATGCAAAACTTAACTGTATGCAAAATAGCTTGGCAATTAACCAACACAACTTTTTAGTTTACTACAAGATTATTGGATAAATATGTGAATTGAGGACAGTCACAACTTCAATTCAGCAATATTAAAAATTTCACAGTATTATTAAATACCTAAAGAAAAAGCTGACTTTTTTTTGAACCTGTAGTGTAAGTGTTTAGATATTCAAAATATTTTTTAATAAATCCTTTTTCTCCTCTCAGTGTCAATTCCACAAATAACCCTGAGCAACACCCTTTTCAGGAGGCTGTGGAGTTTTAGACTGCGAATTCCCCCATATTCATTGTGAGCTGACATTTGGCTTTTGACCCTAACAGCTTGCAGGTAAAGGTGAATGGTCATTATTGTAATTTCTTCCTCAGGACCGTATTTTATGTACGCCATTTATTGGGTCCATGATTGTTAAAAAATGACATCAGCATAATTCAGCCCACTCAGTAAAAACAATGTATCTTTTTTCCTCTTCCTTTTGACCATTGGGATCATAAAGCTTGGTGCTGTTTGCTTGACTTTATGACTACATAGAAAGCATACCAACTTAAGGGCTTCCTCCAAAAGAGCGTGGTCGTGGGAACACGTCCCCCTGAACGCTTAATTAAAATTAACTCTTTCTCTCACTTCCCTGCAAAATAAATAAATAAACAAAAAAAATACATGAATAAAGAATTCCAATTTGTGGGAAACTTCTGCTGAGGAAATTGCTACTTTTGCTACTTCCACACCCATCGCTTATTTGAAGTTGTTAGAGAATCACTTTTTTCCTCCATTCAGGTCGGATTTATGTAAATGACCACACACGACAGGTGCCTTTATATAGTCACTGCTAAACCTGGAATCATGTTGTACAGGAGCTGATAACATGAAATAACATGAAATAAGTGGGCTTATCCCTTCTGAAGCTTGTTTTACAGTACTGGTATTTCTCTTCAGCAAATCCTGCTGCGTGTTTAAGTAATACGATAAAACAATGTAAATGTCTTTGTGGCTGAAACTATTGTTTCAGAAGGAACATGGCTGTTTTATTCTTGTCTTTTATCTCTTCCACATTGAATTTTTGAAAACATGAACAGCTCCCTGGCCTATGTGTCTATAATAAGTTATTTGCTTATGAACCCTCACAATTATTCACGCACTGAAGAAAAGAAGAATGGGAGGAAACCCCATGTCGATAACAGCAACACCCCAAATAAATATAAACCCAAGACCCAAATGTGCCTTTTGCAGTCCTGTCACAGGTTAATATGGCTCATGATGGATACTTAGTTCTTTGACAGCTTCCCCTGCACCTTCGCTGGGAAGTTGATAGAAATTACTCCAGCTGAATGCTTAAAGCAGATGTTATCCCATTAATTAGCTTTGGACCCGGGTACACCCGAGACTTTCCCATTTTCAGGCCGAAAGGAATTGGTCCCAGTGAGCGTGCTCTATATCCACATTTAGTATCATCTCATAAACAGCAGTGAAAACACAGCAGGCCCTTGATGAAGATACATTAGCTTATTTCTAATTTAAAGTTATGTTGCTTAACCTTAATGTAATTGGTCACCGGTGGCCAACTGTTTGTATAGTGTGTTGATGACCAAAGAGATGTAATAAATTATAAAACTCTCTGCTTAAATGGAGGGAAGGACTGTTTTGTTAAAAGCTTTGCATGTAATAATGGTAAAATAATTACACCTCAAGCCGAATAACTGTGAAGCTATTAATACTAACAACAGAGTTGTTCTCAGGATAGATCGGTTCATCCCCATTTAAAACAAGTACATGAATGTGGCTCTTATATTTAGCCAAAGAGTAACTTTGAAACGTTCAGTCTCACGCTGATGAAAATAAATAGCTAAGTCATCCTGTTATCTCATTTGAGGATGATGGTGGTGGGTAGTGAGGTGGTAGGGTAAATTGAAATAATTAACCAATCGCTGTGGTTAACTAGGAAACAAAAACCACAAACAATTCTATTCTGTACATCGGTTCATTGTCACTGGCAGACATGTTTTTAAAGAAGGCTTGATTAGCTGGTAAAATAACTAGGATAACAATGAAATATGAAGATAATTGACACAACTTTAATGTTTAATAACGAATAGCATGCCAGGGGCGAAATAAAGGAAAACTGTCTTCTTTTCTGAGAACAGTTTCCGAGTTAAAATTTCTTGGGCCAAATATAGAGAGTGATTACTTGAGGCTCGTGAACTACTACTCCAGGACTATAGTTACAGTTATTCTTGTGGTTAAAATGAAATCATGTGAGTAACCATATCCAGTCTATCATGAGTAACGATATCCATTCCATAGATTTCTATATGTTGCTACGGAAAACCTATTTCCCCCCTTTCCCTTTATAAAGGTTTGTAACTTTGGTTGAAAATGCAAAGTGAAATAAACATATTCGTGCCTCTGTCTGGATGTTCTCTTTTCCTTCCTGGTTGGATTGTGTTAACTAGCTGTAACAAGTAGGAAAAGTATAGTTTTTGTATTTCTCAAAAGATAGTCCATTTCTCTAAATATTTGCATTCTGAATTTGGATCACCTCCAAAGGGTCCTCATTTCACAACAGAGAAAAAACATTTCTCTCCCTTCTCACGTTACATTTCTTAGAAAGACCTTCCAACAATTTAAACTATTTACAGTACCTCTAGGTCATTATTTCCCCTGACTCCACTGAAATACCCTGGGACACTATTTACGGCTGACTTCTGAGTTACCTCACAGGCTCAGTTTACAAAACGGAGACTTCACCATGTGAAAGTCATTATTTTGTTTAACACAACTTGCAATGTTAAGATTCTTTTTCTTTTTAAATTTGCCACTGCCGTGGCTGGGAGTGTTAGTTATGAAAACCCCAGAAGCTCAGATGTGAAGATACGATTCTCTCCAGGGCCTATCTATCAATATTATTTGGGGTTAACTCATAAAATCAAAGATACTGATGAGAAAACAACAGGAGAATAAATGAGATTTTTTTTCCTTCCAGAAAAAAAAAAAACAACAACAAAAGCAACTTCCTATGAAATTAAAGATTCTACCTCATGGGTAATAACCTAACAGAGCTTTCTAAGCAAAGACAGTGGGCCATCCCATGAAGACCAGGCTAATAAAAGTGAAAGTCTGTAAGTTTTTCCAGAGAACAGTTGTGCTCTGGGAATAACTTCAGAGCCACCCTTCTTAATAGTAAAAACGACTCTGTTGCTGTTCCAACTAAAAATCAATGTGGCTCACAATTTTAATAAGGAACATGAATCTGAAAACGTGTTTAGTATCAGGTTATATAAACACACCCTAATGAGATACCATAAAATCCATCACATTAAAGGCTGGTTTCCTGCAAGGTATATTAGCTAAAAATGCTCCATATATTAGGTCAGTATACAACAGTATACATAATAAAGCAGCTCTGTCAAGATAAGATGCATGTTTTGCCCCTTAAAACTGTTAGGTTTTGCACATTTTATAAGGTTCCTTGAATACATGAATAAGATAAGTTATTCCCATCTCTTTCTTAAGCAATCTCAGAAATGGCTATGACCTGAAATTGGAATTCTTGTAAACACCCATCCGAAGAAAATGTGTGCAGCTCTGTCTTAAAGAGACGGTACATGTTTAATTATCCCAACTTCTTCCAGCGGAATACTATTAACATGCACATTAGCATCATCTCATTGGTTCATCCTGCTGCTCCACCTTAGGGGCAGCAGTAGGAGCTAATCTTATTGCTCCCATGCGCATAATAATGAAATTTGGTCTTGTCTCAAGGCAGCGTTCTTTGGTCTAAAGTACAGCTGGAGACATTACCGTTCTGGAAAATTACTGACCGATTCATTGTGAAAGAAGTAAAATAAAATATAGTCCCAAACAACGACTGTGAAATATACTGTTTTACCTTGAGTATCAAATATTAAGCGATGGTAGGTATGAATAACTCTATGTTTGAATAAAGACATGAGTGGAAACTGAATTCTTAGATGCTTATATCTATACACATGCCAAGGAGCACACCCCACATATAAACCCCAGACAATCGGTGTCCACCTATGACCGTCCTGCTTCTTAACGCTATCTTCAGCTGTGTACGAGTGGGATAAAAATAAACTAAAACAATAGAAATAATTTTTTTGTCACGTCTTTTTCATCTGTTTTCAAAGAAACAATGACAGGATCTCATGCAATATATAATACCCCTGCCTTTTTGCATGCAATGTTGGAAAGCCCTAATAAAAAAAGTATGCATACACTGCATAGCACACACAAAACTACATGTGAATTCAAGGCTAGTGAATTAAGGGAGGTTGTTCCAACATTTCCCCCACTGTACATTATTTGTATTCAAGGTTTTTGAAATGACATTGTAATCTGATGATGCACCAGCCTATTATATTGTCTAGCAGGACAAATATCCTTGCGTTTTCTCTGTAGAACTAACACAATTTTTCCATGTCAGAGGTGCATAATATCCTGGCGGTCATAAGGAATGATGCTATTAATCCTCTTGGGCAATCTCCAGGTCTGATTATTAGGGAAATAAATTTGCATGCTGCATATGAGCTAGGTGAATCACCGAGAGCACAAATTATATTTCCTGACAGCAAGTTAGAGAATGGAGCCGTGTCGCTTTTTTATCTTTCCCCCCCTCTGAAAGCTATAGAATTTCAATTCATTACACGAGATTGGTTAGAATTCAAGTCTCTTTTTAAGTTGATATTAAGTTGAGTCCGTTATCTCTGCGAAGGCTGGTAGGTTCCCCAGAGTACCCACCTAATCACTACTTAAAAAAATCGAAACGTATAGTTAGTGTCATGATTTAGCTAGCAGAGCTACTTTATTTATCAGCACAGAGTGAGATAATTTCAATTTGAGCCTCCATAGCCCTCATGAATTTAACTGGCTTGAAAGCTTTTCCCCCCTACTCCCTTTCTTCCTCCCCCTTTTGTTGCATATTGTAATAATAGTCATTCTGGGCACCTTCCGTGCAGCCATGCCAAGCATTGCACGGGGCTCCTTCCCCTATCCTGGAGACCTGATTCCAGCCAAGCTTGTGCAAACAGCCCTGAGTTTCTGTCTCCACATTTCACTGCCTCCTCTTTGCCAGCAGTACTGCCAGGCGTGTCTGCATTCAATATCCATGATGAATGTATTTTTATTATTTCCAGGGGTTGGCATCTGAGAAACCTTTTTGCATTATTAAATTTGAGCAGGGAGAATGATAGCAAATAAGAGCATAATAAATTGCTTTATGTCCTAATGTATTAATTAAGCAGACATTTATTATAATGGTTGTTTTATAGACCCATTGTAAAAATGTATGATTGTGTGGTGATACTCGAGCTGGAGCCACATATGGTAACTCGGGGGGATGGATTGTGACTTTTGTCAGATTGGAAAAGGTTCACCAGATCTGGGCTGCAAATTCAGGAGGAAGCAGAGAAGCCAGCTGAAGTGTGACTTTGGTGAAAGAGTACTGCAATGGCTAGTGTGCAAGCAAGTCAAGAATCCTTTTATTATTATTGTGGTTATGTGTAAAAATAAAGATATGCATACCACACCCAGTAAATATCGCATGTTGTATAGTGTTTTACAGTTTTTAAAGTACATTTACAGATGAATGCACTATGAAAAGATGCAGTAGATTGCAGAGGCTTGCTTCAATTAAAAAATGTGTATTATTACCAATATTTGAAACAGAAATATGTATACACTTCGGGATAATAAGAATAATGGCAAATCCAAGAGGCAGGCAATTTTGGAATATATAAGGTCTAAGTGTTTTAGACTATATGCACTTATTCAGAGCAAACCAAAGGAGCGCAGCTTAGAGAGCGCTATCTAGGCCTTCTGATTACTCGAGTCATGAGTAATTGTCACAAAAACAATTCTTTCTTTATCTTGCTTCTTCAGAGTGGGTTAAGTGATTTGTCTACCATTTTGCCAAATAAATAAATGAATAAATAAAAGGTCCCAGCAAATTCTTCCATCACTTCGCTTTCCCATATAGTCAGTATAGTTTTGATGCGATCACTCTCAGAGCAGAAATACCTGTGAATCACAGGTGTGCTTTGCAGGCACGTGGCTTGTGATTTAACACAGTCAGGAAATATTCTCTACATTCAAGAAAAGGAAGTTACAGTTGGAGGGAACTCAGAAAATGCCCATGGGGAGGGACCTTGGGGGTCTCAAGGATTGTTTCCTCTCCCTCACGTGGGTGCTATTTTTGGCTCCACATAGAGGTGCTTTTCAGCACTGTTGACTTTAATCCCTGCCTACTACTGGGCACTTAGGCTGATAAGAGAGGTGATTTGTAACAAGCTCAAAAAGGACATGAGGTTAATGCCGAAAATGCCTAAAACCAGTTACTGCAAATAGAGCAAACCAAATCTGTCCCCAGCGCCATCCTGACCACTGGCCAATGGTGGAAAAGAACTGTAGAGGTCATGCTAGGCGCATTTATGAACTCATAGCCAAACGACACCTAATCCATAAAAATTCTGCCTCCCTCTGCGTGGTGTGAAAACAGTCATTCAATTCAGTGAAAACACAGCAGTTTGACCGGTACCTTTATATCTAGAAAGTGATAAAATCTGAGTGATCTGAGTTTGCTACTTTAGTACCAGTTGTTCAGATATTATATACAGATTCGAGAAGGGATTTCCATTCCTAAATGCCAAGCCTTCTGCTAGGCACCTTGTTTATGACATTTTCAGCGATTGGTACCAGGGCTGTACGTAGAGGGGAGTAGTGTTGATTTATTTCCAACGAGAGGACACAAAGGTCTGAGCAGTGAAGTGAATGCCCGAGCTCACAGCTAGGAGGTGGTAGAGCTGGTTCTACTCCAAATAGGGTTCTGATGCCCAACATCTCTTGTTCTTATTCCTGGACCAATCTTCCTCCCAGAGAGAGGCAGAGAGAGAGACGTAGAGGTAGATATAGGAAGAGAGAGCCTGGGAGAGAAAGAAACAGAAAGAAGAGGAGAGAGGGAGAGAGGGGGAAAGAGATTGAGAGAGAGAGAAAGCAGAAAGAGAGAAAATTTGAGCCTTCAAATAAAAGGGAAAGGAAGGTAAGTGCAATCTAAAATATTGCTCTATTCTTTCACACTTCTGCTCCAAATTTGAGACTGAGTGCTCTGTCTTTACATCAACAAGAATCACATGTAAACCACTTCTATTTGCTTGAAAATTAAAAGAGGAAGCTTGAGGTCACGTGACTTCTGGTCATTGCCTTTCTTAGAAGCTTTATGAGGGTGTGGAGTCCATGAAGCCTCATGCCTCTGAATTAGGCTCTTTGGACACAGATGGAGATAGGCGTAAATTAAATCTTGATCCTTTATTAGCTGTTATGTCCTAGAGAAAGCCATTTAACCTCTTTGAGCGTTCAGTTATTATTATTATTATCAATATTA